ATGTTTCTCTCTCCCTCTCTCTTCCTCTCTGAAATTTTGTACATACATATACATATATATATATATATATATATATATATATATATATATATATATATATATATATGTAATTGATTCTGATTTACTTGGAGGGCAGAGAACCTGAAGAGTTGATATGTAAATCTCTCACATTGTTGAGGCTTCTTCATGATCTGGTCACAATGGGTTTTGCATATATTTCAGGTGAACTTGAAAACATATTTTTTTCACTGTTAATTTTGGAGCAAGTTTCTTTATATACTAGTATAAACTTCTAATTTTATTGTTCGGATTTTCATCTCCCCCTTTTCCCTGCTTATTCTATCAGATTCTAATAGAGGTGAATTCAAGCTTTTCAGTCTTCTCAGGTAGTTCTGTCAGGTTTTGCTTTATGTATTTTGAGGTTCTTAGTTGCATACAAGTTCATATTTGTCATCTCTTTTTAGTGGATACTTTCTCCATTTATTCTTTTTTTCTTTATTGTTTTATTTAAAATATGTTTTTATTGATTTTAGAGAGAGAGGAAAGGAGAGGGAAACAGAGATAGAAACCTCAATGAGAGATGAGAAACATCATTGATAAGCTGTCTCCTGCATGTTCCCTGCTGGGGACTGAGCCTGCAACCTGGGCATATGCCCTGAGCAGGAATCAAACCAGCAATCTCTTGGTGTATGGGTCAGTGCTTAACCACTGAGCAACACCAGCTGGTCTTTCTCCATTATTCTTTTTCCTTTTTATTCCTTTTCTACTTCCTGATGAATTAGTGTTCTGTATTTTTTCTCTTTACACTCATTTGGAACTGATGCTGTATATTTTTATTATTTTAGGGACTACCCGTATATTTTTAGCATACAATCTTAACTATACACTTTTCTAACAAATCCTGAAGGAATTTATTTTTGTCTCATTTCCTTGTGTGTGACAAGGATCTTCATGTGCTTTACCACAACCTATTGAGCATCCATCAGTCCATCTTATTGTTCTATAGTTTTAATTTTACTATTAAAAACACACAGAAACAGTTTGTCATTTGTTAATCACATCTATTTGGGGTATTAACTTATGTGGCTACAGTAGTGGGCCCAGGTTAGCCTAGTGGGGGGATGGGATAACCCAGCTCATCCTCCCCTTTGGGACCATAACAGTAAGAGCTAGAAGTGCTGTCAGAGGCCCAGAATTTTAGCATCAGGGAGGCCAAAGGTGGAGATGCCAAGAAGTCATCTGCCACGATCCCCACACCGAGTCCCATATTTCCTGCAGGTATCGGGCATTCAGGGAAGACGATGGGCATTATTCCGGGACCTACTGGAACCTTCTGGCTATCCGCCTGGCCTTTGTCATTGTGTTTGAGGTAGCTGGGGCACCTCCCAGGCCCTCTGTTGGCTTCCTCTTCTTGGCCTTAGCATGATTCCCCCACCCTCATGCTTTGCCTAATCTCACCATGTGGTTTGGGGGTTGGTGTGTCCAAAGGAATAGAGCCCTGGTCATACCGCTCTGTCACTGTGGTCGAATCACAGTTCCTCTCTGCATCATTTCTCCATCTGGAGAAGGGAGCAATCCCTGCCTAGCCTGTCACAGGGCTGTGCGGACATCAGGATGCTCTGGGTACCGTGTAGTGTCCTAGGGAAGCTCCATGGGGCCAGGGAAGCAGGGGGTGGTCTCTGGGGCCATGACACTGCTGCTTTTCAGTTCACCCACACCTGGGAAGCAGGTGTCCACACCTGAGCCCATGAAGGCCATTCTGGGCACTTGTTTTACCATTGGGTAGGGTGCCCTCTCCCACGGCTGGTCCTGTCCCCTCTCCCAGCATGTGGTGTTCTCCATCGGCCGGATCCTCGACCTCCTGGTACCTGACATCCCTGAGTCTGTGCAGATCAAGGTGAAGCGGGAATACTACCTGGCCAAGCAGGCACTGGCTGAGAACGAGGTGAGCCCCCCCCCCCCCCCACAGCCCTCGTGCACCCACTGTGGAGTGGCCCCAGCCAGGTACTTGCTGCCAAGCAGGCCGGGGTGCATTTAATCACACTCTCCCTGGCCACCCTCCTGGACACAGGCTCTCTTGGGGACGAATGGAGCCAAGGACGACCAGCCCTCAGCCTCAGAGGAGTGTCTGGGCCCACAGCCTAGGCGACCAGAAGCCAGCCGTACCTCGCCAGTCCCTTCCCTCTGAGGTCGCAGGCATCATGTTGGGGACTGAGGGGCCTGGAGTCAGACCCACCTGGAGTGCAGAGCCCTCACGCCCTGGAGATGAGAGGCCTCCTCCTCTCCTTCCCCTCCTCAGCTGCCTTGGGCCCCTGCTCCTGTCCCCTGCCTCCCAGGTCCTGGTTGCAGCCCCCACTGGCCACCCCTTTGGAGTACCCAAAGCCAGGCGACTATAGCAGGGGAACCTGGTGGGCTGGGGCATGCCTCCACCATCTCCCTCCCAGCCCCATGAGCCAGTATCCTCTCCTCACACTCCCCCAGGGGCAGAATGGCTCCACCCTGAGACTTGTTCCCATCACCCCCACCCACCTCTGGGCACACTGCCTACTCTCCTACATCTTTACTCAGAGCTGTGGCCCTTCCAGGCCTCAACCCTCCACTTCGTGCCATCCTGGGTCCCTGCACCCACAGCCTCCCCTGCTCACTTCCTACTTGCCCATCAGCCCTCACATGACTCGTCTGCCAATCCAGCCAGTGGACTCTGGGTCCTGTGTCCTCTCTGGTGTTTTGATCCTGCTGTCCTTGAAATGATGGAATGACCCCTCTCTAGGCCCACCTGGTTACACAGAGTTCTGCCTGCCCCCCAGCACTCTATGTTCCAGGTCACAACCTGGAGTCAGCTCAACCCCTCACCCACTTTCTCCACTCCCCATTACTAGCCAAGGGCTCCTGATTCTGTCACCATTTCTTGAACCTGGTGCCCCCTTTCACTCCCAGCCACTATGAGTGGCCTCTCAGGCTAAGAAGCTATACTGCCCAGCTCCTTCCCAGACTACAGCCTGAGGCTGAGGAAGGTTTGGAAGAAGACTCAATTTTATTCCCTGACCTGTGAAACACTGGAGTTTCCTTTATGTTTACACATGATCATCTCCAAAGTTGGGAGCACCTTAGTGCATCCAGTTGGACCTTGTCCACTGACCAGCATGTGACCCCCCTTCCACATCCTCCTTCCATCAACTCAGTTAACCGCTGTGCCCATGCGTGACTCCACCACGGGTTGCTTGCTCTTGGCTGTGCACTCCCTGCTGGGTGTGTGGGTTTTCTCCACCTGTACCTTGTAATTCATGCTGGAATAAACCTCCCGAAGTACTGTGCGCACCACTGGCTTCCTTGGGGCACACTCCTAGACGCACTGTCGAACTTCCTCCAGAAAGGCCCATCGATACCTCTGCATAGCATTCTTGCCAATGTGGTGCCATTAAAAACCCACCGCTCTGGCCTCAGGCAGCACTGTGTGCACTACAGGCAGCGTTTCCGAATGAGGTGAGCAAAGGTGCCATTGGCACTGCTTTTGGGCATCACTCATTCATCCACTTTGAGAAAAGGGACCGTCCTTTGAGCAGCAGAGCCGCCCAGTGGTGAGGCCGAATGGTTCCAGTATGCAGTGTCCTCACAACATCCACAAGTACTTTCTTCCAGTGGTTGCTTTATTGCTTTCTCAAACTTTGTAATTTTAGAGTAAATCTATTGAACATAAGAAAATACTTGAGTCTTAACTCAGGTTTTCTTGAAGTGAACACACACATTGTAGTCAGCATGTCAATCTAGACAGCCTATCATCGGCCTAGTGCCTGGCATGGACCCTCCCACCTAACCCCTTCCCACCCAGAGTGGCCACCACCTTGGACTCTAATGCAGTGGAACCCAGAGCCTGGCCCCGACCTTCAGGGGTGGTGCATCATGGGCCCATCCTGCTGCCATGTGCACTCCCTGTAGCTCTGACCCTTGACGCCTCAGTCCTCCCTCATATGACAGGTGGTTCCTCTGTATCTGCCTGGAGGCTGGGAGCCAGTCCTGGGGATACCTCAGTTTGCTGATAGAGATCATTCAGGCAGAATCCTGAGCTGAGTGAAGTAGCAAGGTACTGAACCAGCTGTGACCACTGCTGGCCTCCCACCATGGCCCCTGCAGGGCAGTCAGTTAATGTGGTGCTGAGAACTACAGATGCCAGCTGGGAGAATCGCACCAAAGATGAGAACTGTTTATGGATGTCTGTGACCACTCGAGTGCCATGGACTGAGAACACATGTGGTGTGATAAAACGAGCCTCGGCACACTGCATCTGGTTTTGGGTTTTATTTTAGAATTTATAAAATTCCAGTGTCATCCATATTCATGAGCCTTTACACATGTTTGCATATAATCTCCAAACTCCAAAGTTAAGGCCAAGGGATGGATTTTAACTGTGGACACATATGATATGGAAGACAGTCAACAAGAGGAAATGGACACTCATGCCCCACCCCTGCCCAGGGCTCCTGCAGCAGCACCAGAGGCAGCAGGAGAGCCCCAGGCACAGTCACCTCATGAGCCTGACTAACAGCCACACAGTGAGAACCCACACAGTGTAGGAGAGGGGGCTGCACCTACATTTAGGAATAAGTGCAGATGTGCAAACACCTGTTGGAGCAATTAAAAATCCACCTTTGCGGGGAGGGGGTTAGATATCACAGAAACATGAGGTTCGGGCAGATGCCAGAGGGCAGGGAGGGGTTGGAGGGGAGGGCAGTACACTGGCCAACAGGAAAGGCTCCAAAACTCATGCAGATAGAAGGAACTCCAGGGACCAGGGAGGTAGGGGATGGTCCTGGAGAAAGGCAAAACAGCAACGTCCCTTCTCACTTCCTTTTTCAATTGACTCCACCTAATTTGGGGTCACCCAACCTATTCAGCTGAAGCAAATGTTTTCCTACCCCAATTTATCACTTCTACATATGGGCACATTTGAGGCTGCTTGAGCTAATGGGAACTCAGAGACAATTGATACCAGACTTGTGTTCAGCAATTCTGGTCTATTCAGGAATTTCAGTCTAAAGACTGCCAAGCTGAGCAATAACCGAATAGAAAACTTCATGGAGGGGGTGGTCAGGGAAGAAGTGACCTTCCCCAGGGAAGGGCTGGGCAAGGGGTACTAGCTGGCTTCTCTAGGAACTCCATTATTTGGATGGAAAACTTGAGAGGGGCTCAGTCACCCCTACAGGGGTAGAGGTGGGGATGGGAGACCAGACAACCTGGAAACCAAGGGCCTGTCTGTGGCTCTCACAAGACCGCCTTGGCCACCTTTCCTCTCCAGAGCACATCACCATGCTGGCTGGGGCAGGGCACCTTGTCTGGTCTGGAATGACCCACCACCCTGAGAAAAGCAGACTCCCTTAGCAGGACCTGGTCCTCCAGCCCAGGTTGAGTGACAGCCTCTCTCTACCCCAGGACCAGGAAGCTGCCTCTGAAGGCCAGCTCCCAGGGTCAGCACACGGCATCCATGTGTCCGAGGGCAGCCTGTAGGATGGTGTACGCACTCTCCACTCTGGACTTTCCCACTGGCCACTTGCAAGTGAGGGTGCGACCCAGAGCTGTGACAGTCAGTGGACTCAGGCACTGGTGACCAGAGCCGTTGGAATCAGGAGGCTGAGCACCTGGGGCGGCACCACCCTCACCATGAGATCACTACCACACTGGCTCTGAGGTAGAAAGGAGACTGGACTCGGCATTTAGGGAGGGGCAGGAAAGCTGAAGTCGATGTGACAGGTCAGCCGGGAGGGGAAGTGAGTCTCCTCTGCGGGTCACCTCTCTCCCCATCCCTGTGGTTCTAAGCTCACACCAAACCCAGGTGGTAGATGCAGCCTCACTTACAGGCCTTGCCCACCAGATGAGGGGCCTCCGGTGCCTGTGGTGCAGGGGCACAGACACTTGGAACCTGGTCCCCTCTCTGGGTCCAGGTGCTCCAGTGTGCACAATGGGCCTTCCTCCCACCCTGTGGTCTGGGATGTGCGGGCTTTGGCAGTGGGAAGGAGGCGGACTGCAGTCTATAGAGGGCTGGACTACAGGCAGAGGGAGAGAGAGAGCTGGGAAAGGAAGAGGGCAAACGTTTGGCTTTTCTAAAGTCAAGGAAATTTATTTCCTGAGGTCACGACACAGGAAGTGGGCTCAGCCCCAGCTGTGCAGCACTCTTAGTGGGGCCAGGGCCTTATTGACATGCCGGTGGACCAGGAAGCTTGTCGTGAAATGTCCAATTGCCTCTATTAGTGTTTGAACCGTGGAAAGCTGGCCCACAGCCGGTGTCAAGGGCAGATCCTGAGCACGTGCCGGGCGCTGGCCAGGCCTGAGGACCAGCTGCACACAGCGCCAGGCGCCCGGCTTCACTGTGAGACCTCGGGGAGGGGGGAGCGTCAACAATTTATGGAGGGTCCAGCTGCTGAGTCAGATTGAAACAAACCATTGTGTGGTGGGGTTTGGGTCAGCAGGCTGGAGAGGTTTGTTTTCTGATCATTATCGTTTGGGGCCCCAAGGGAGGGTCTTGGGGGCCACCTGAGCCCCAAAGCTGGGAAATTCTTCAGAGCTGCTCATATCTGGAGCCTGTGGGGACAGAGAGGGCACAGCTTTACTAAGCAAGTTTCACTCAGGCAGCTCCAAAATGGACCCACCCTCTGACCCTGGGCCCACCCACTGGCGGGTAAGTGTGGCAGGCATCCCCACTCCCCGGGCACTGGGAGGGCACCCAGGATGAGCACCGTCTGACCTTCTCACTGCTGTTGGCGGTCCAGGGAGCGTCCCGAACCACAAAGCCCTTGGAAGGGGCCTTGGACTCCTCGTGGGCTGGGGGCTTCATGTACACCTGCAGGACCTCGCTGTCCACCACGTCGGCCAGCTGTGGGCACAGGTGGGATCAGCCGGCAGTAGTGATTCCCCGTGAGCATCCACCACTGTGCTCACCCTGCTTTGAGGCGCTGGGGCTCGCCTGCACCTGGCAGGCATCTGAAAACACCTGCATGTGGCCTCATGTGACCCCAGAACTCACATATTCTTCCTCCAAGTTGAGGATGTGGTCGATGGCCTCCTCCACGTTCTCTGGGAGCCCCGTCACGGTGACGCAGTTGGGGTCCGGGGCCCCGCTCTGCGGGAAGCGAATGTCCACCTGGAAGGAGCACACATAGCAGCTGAGGTGGCTCCAAGTGCCCATTAGAGGATTTTGGATTAAACAGTGGCCATTAGGTATGGCTGGAACAGTACATTCCTAGTGTTTTCCCTTTGGGTTCATGAAACCTAAGAACCTGGTTCATGGTCCCTCATCTTCACGACATGTGAGGCCAGTGCACTGCAGAAGCAGCTGGTGTAGAGGCCCCAACTCCAAGATGTGTATACCTCCTAGGGATTGGCTGGGGTGGCAGGCAGCCAAACCTTTGGAGCTAGCACAGGGCACTGACCAATGGCATCAACTATACAGCTGTAACTCCACTTGACCTCACCGCCTTAGCGATGAGCACCTGAGTCTTGGATGTCTGCCCTTTCAGACCTCTGCTGGCCTGTGAGTGTGCTCAGCAGTCTCGGCAGGAAGACTGAGGCCCTGGTGTCCCTTACCAGCCCATGGAAGAAAGCTCTGACAGCAGGGAGTATGCCGATCTCACCCATGGGGCTTCCAGGACTAACATACACCCTTCACGGTGGGGCTGAAGACACACCTTGAATTCATCCATGATTTTGCGAATGGCTTTGCCACGGGCACCAATGATGCGGGCGTGGACACGGTGGTCTAATGGGACGTCCTCAGAAACCATCTGTTCAAGTTCACCCACAATTTTCAGTATGGCATCCCGGGCAGCTTCTGTGTTCTTTTCGTACCCTGTGATGGTGATTTGGTCCTGCGGCTGAGAAAGGAGAATCCCATCAGAAGAGGACATGTCCCAGGATTCCTGGCTGGGAGGGCACACAGGGACTGGAGAGCGTTAGCTGGATTGAAGGAGGTAGGCTTCAGTTCAGGGGGAAAGACCGATCCACTCAGAAGAGAAAGAAGGTGAAAAGAAACAATATCCATTTATTTAGCTCCTGCCCCTTCCAGTAACACACAGGAAAAGAAAGAGCACCTGCCCACAAAGACACGGCAGGACACTAGCAGGTGAGGGGTCTGGGGAGGTCCCCCTGGGCCCCTCATCTGGAGGAGTCTCAGTGAAGACGACCGACCTGACCTGGAAGAAGGTGCCAGACAGTGTAGCCAGTACTCCATACCTGCAGTGCCCCGCCCGGGGTCTCCCTCTGATCATACAAATGTCTGGATGAGCACACCAGATTGGTAAAGGGTGAGCAGAGCAAACGGATAATTCAAGGCACAGAGAAAGAAATGGGAAAACAAAATAATAGCCTCAGACCACATTCTTAACACATTGCGGGTGGATCACGAGCATTCTCGTGTTTGCATATTACACAGTGTTTTACATAAATGTTAAAGGCACGCCTTAAAATTAAATACGCATTGCATTTTTAAGTTATTTATTACATGTTCTTACAAGCTAAGTATGATACTTTGTAAAACCTATTTTGTACTCGTTCAATAGAAACTTATCTGGTCACTGGGTAAAGCTAGCAATAAAACTACTGGTGCACAATGTGTTAACGACAGAAGAGTATTATACATGCAAAAAAAAAAGAACAGAACATGGTGTAAGAGAACCAGAGAACAAGAATAAACATCTGGAACCTTGGCCAGCATGACTCAGTGATTAGAGTGTTGGCCTGAGAACTTAAGGGTCACGGGTTTAATTCCGGTCAAGGGCACATACCTGGATTGCAAGTTCCCTTCCCTGATTGGGGTGTGTGTGGGAGGCAACCAATTGATGTGGCTCTCTAACATCAATGTTTCTCTCTCTCTCCTCTCCCTCCCCTCCACTCTCACTAAAATCAACTGGAAAAATATCCTCCAGTGAGGATCAAAACAAAATAAAACAAAGAATAACCTGGAAATGAAATAGAGGAACAGGAACTTAAGAGACCCATCTGGGAGAGAGACAGAGAAACCCCAGGAGTCTAGGTGAAGCAGATGTAGGACAGGAGACGACCCTACCCAGTCCCCACCCAGCAATGCCCAGAAACCCCCACTCCCCAGTGAGGCATCACCCAGGGCAGAACACAGTTGGCATAATTCTCACAGGAAAAAGCTTTGTATGAAAGATGTAGCTGACTGACCCTACTTGGTTCATGAGATGTTAATAGTCTAAACACTAAATAATGACTTTACAAAACCAATAATTATATGGGAAATTTGTGGGAAATAAAGGTGAGGGGTTGGAGAGAGCTAAATTCTCAAGATCAAGATAATTAAAAAATCAAATAAAAAAATAAAAAAAGAACAGCAATGTAAACATAATCCTTAGAAACAGAGATCAACAGAAGAAAAGGCAGTGAAAGGCTGTACCTGGGGCAGGATCAGTTCAGGGAGCACAGAGGAAAAGGGATGCGAGGTCAGCACCTACAGGCCTGCCTCACTTTCTGAATGACAAAGACCCTGGAAGGGAAGGCTGGGGAGAGAAGCAGGCAAGAGGTCCACAGTGATGCTCAGACACAGGTTGGAAAGGCACAGTATGGTGGGACCAGGCCAGTCTGCAGAGGCTTGTTGGGATTTTCTGGCCAGAAGGTTCCAGGGAACCATTTCTGGGTGCTCTCCTGTGCAGCAAATACTGCAGGAGACCCAAGCAGAGACTGGGCTCCCCACCTCCTCGAGGACCAGGAAGGGCCAAGAGATAAGACAGGCAGGGGTGTGGGATGGGGTGGGCCCAATGTAGTGCAGAGGGTAGAGGGCATGCAGTTCTGCAGGGCTCCACCTGTGAGGACAACTGTGCGAGGACCCTGCCAGAGCCCCCAGATAGGCACAGGAAAAATGCCCAAGGCCACATGGCAACACATCCATGACAGGGAAACCTCACCCAACTGGCACATGCCAAGATGGGGCCCAAATCCAGAGCCAAACTCAATCCTCAAAGACCTGCCCCTCTGGATCCTGCTCTCTCACCTCCCAGCTGAGCACCTCCTGTTTGCATGGTCACTGTTCCCAGTCAGGACAAACGTCAACGAGAGTCCATCTGCCCCCAAAGTACTCCAACGTGCTATCTGACCCGAGAGGTCTCTTACCTGGTTCCCATCATCCTTATCAGGAAATTGGATGTTCACGTCATGCTCCAAGCGGATTTGGGTAATCACTGCCCCCTTTCTCCCAATGATTTTGGGATGGTATTTAGGGTCGACAGTGACGCTTAGCTTAAAACTCCTTAAAGCCTGTGGATAAAACAAGTGAGAATGAGGCAAAGGGTGGAACACTTGAGCCTTGAGCTTCACTTCACTATCACATACATCCACATGCCTCTATTCCATCCTACACCTGGAAAGTGTCCTCTGTTACCACAGCAACAAGAACAAGCCATGGCTTTTCCATGAGTCTGTGCCACATTCCATCATCAGCTAGTGATGAAGACCAGAGCCTTGACCTGCACAACCAGGTCCACAGGGCCTTCAGAAAAGGACCGGAGAGGCCTGGATGATAACAGGTGGAGCTGTGTGTTCCTAAGATGTGGAGCAGGGATCTGAGGAACAAGCATTAAAAAGGCCAAAAAGAAAGGAGGGAACCAGAGTGGTAAGGGGACATAGCCCCAATGTGTGTGGCCAGAAACCTGGTCAGAGGACAGACACCCCGCAAAGTCAGTGCTGTGCCCAAGACAACTGTGCCACACTGACACTGCAGGATGTCTGAGCTCAGTCATGCCCCTCAGTGAAGAGTTGGTACCCTGCTTAACCTGCAACACTACTAACAGTGCCCAGGACCCGCCCACTGTGCGTCACTCATGTGACCCCCGGCTCCACCATGGGTGGGCGGGCTGTCACCCCTTATCAACAGCAGGGACACCACACCCACTCTGGGCTTCAGCATATCCTGGGGTCTCTCCAGCAACAGCTCTCAAAAGCTCTCAGAGGGCCTCTCAACCTCAACTTCCCTATAAAGTTGAAGGCATCATCACGTCTCCCGATATACTGGGAAAGAACTTGCTAATAAGCAAGCAACACTGTTCTGATAAAGACTCCCCACTTAACAAGACCTCTGGATGTTAACTGGGTCTGCCTCCAGCCTCCTGATTTAACTGGTCGAAGTGTAGCCGGGGTGCTGGGTCTCTTAGAAGCCCCTGGTGATCCTCAAGTGTGACCACACTGAGAGAAGAAACATCCACGGCCCCACCTCCTGCTCACCCGGTCCTCCTGCTCTGCCTGCAGCTCCCGCACACGCTCCAGGAGCCCAGCCTTGGCCCGGTCCAGATTTGCAGCGAGGCCTGTGATGGCGATGACATCAGACTGCAGCTCAGGTGCCGGGACGTGTATATTCACCTGGTGGACACAGGAACAGACCTGATGTACGTGGGGGTCCCTCAGGACGGGAATGTGTCTATCTGGCTCCTCCGATGGTGAGCTTGGAAGCCATGATCAACCTGCCTATCAGATTTGGCCAGGAGATACACCCACAAGCTGGGGACAAGGAGGTTGGGTAGTGTGAAGGGAGATAACCAAGAGCAGGAGGAGGGCACCTCCCCTGGGTTGGGTGTGTGACAGCTCACTCCCTAAACCTGGTATCCAGGGATAGGACCTGCAAACTGCTCACCTCAAACTCATCCATCATCTTGCGGATCCCGCTTCCCTTCTGTCCGATGATGTACCGGTGAAGGTCAAAGGGCACTTCCACTTCAATGGTGACAGGAACCAGAGCCTACAGGGAAGAGGGTTGTTAGGCCCAGAGCAGTGAGCAGTGACTCTGTGGGCTCAGCAACAGGACTTCATGGAGAGAAGTACGGTGCACGTCGGAACTTTCCACACTGTTCCCCCTGGACTGAGTAGGCCACTGCTAACCCCAGAGAAAACATGGGAGAGGGTCCAATATTAATGCTGGCAGAGCAGCTCTCAGACCCTGGCCCCAAGCCTCTGCTCTTAAATATAGAAGGCCCCTTATTGAAGCAAAACAACAGAACAAAAATCCAGGAAAAACAGGACTTGAGACCTATAGGGGCAGGGGAGAGCCCTTAGACACAGAGGCTGCCCCGACCCCCAGCCTCACAGAGGTAAAGAATGGACTATGACCACCCTAGTCCCAACCGCCTCCAATGGCACCAACCCCTAGACATGGGAGAGCTGATTCTCACCTGTCTCTCGGCTCAATGCAGAGGCTTTGTACACTGTGTGTGCAGCATTTAGAACAGCACCCAACATGTAGGTGGCGCTCAGTAAGTACTCACTGCAAAACTGATTCATCCTCACCCTAGCCGGTGTGGCTCACTGCATAGAGCGTAGGCCTGCAGACCGAAAGGTCCCAGGTTCAATTCCAGTCAAGGGAACATGCCCGGGTTGCGGGCTCAATTCCCCAGTGGGAGGCATGCAGGAGGCAGCCAATTGATGATTCTCCCTCATCATCGATGTTTCTCTCTTTCTCCCTCTCCCTTCCTCTTTGAAATCAATAAAAATAGAAAGACAACCATCTGTAACAGTACAATTCATTTCAACAACAACAACAAAAAAACACTTGACTCATCCTCACAAGTCCAAACATCCCTACTTCACAGAGAGGGACACTGAGACCCTCCAACTGTGCTCTCTGCAGCCCCCAGGCTTGCAGGCCGAGGCTGGCCCCATGCTGCTGCCAGGTCTGGGGAAGGAAATGCCACAGCCTGCAGTACAAGCCACAGTGCTCGGACTTAGGACTTTATAAAGCGACTAGACCATGAATCTGCCACCGGGGAAGCATCCCTCAGGTCACCACTCACCCACAAGGAGGGGGAGGAGCCACACGCACCTCAAGGGCTTCCTTGGCAGCTTCACACTTTTCCTTGCGGCCAGAGATGATGATGATGTCACACCTCCTCGGAGAGCCAGGGTCAGCCTCTCTGCCCTCCCCAGCATCGTCACCGTTCTCCTGAACAGCTGGCTCTGCACTATGAACTGGGGAGAGAGCAGAGGGGCAGGTCACACAGGCCTCAGTCATACTGCCTCACCTTCAACATGGACCTGAGTACTCGAGACACAGGAACTGGTGGCAGGAGAGGTGAGAGGTGCCCACCGTGTTTGAGAGGGGAGGACAGATGTTCCCATGGCCCAGGAGACCTGGTTCTGGGAGGAGTCAGTGGGAGGGGCTTGAGAGATTTAGGAGGGACAAGGTGACGCTGCACCAGCTTCTTCTGCTACGAAGAAAGAAAGCCACAAGAATAAAGCGACCTGAAACAGGACACAGAAGCAGCTGGTGCGGCTCCTGTGGGCCACACTGGGGAGCATGTATGCGCCCAAATTAACACCAAAAGAATATTCCTGGTGTGAAACAGAATCCAGTAGTCTGTATGATATAAATAAGTAAGCAGGCATAAACTGCCTAGAGCAGTGATGGCGAACCTATGACACGCGTGTCAGAGGTGACACGCAAACTCATTTTTTTGGTTGATTTTTCTTTGTTAAATGGGATTTAAATATATAAAATAAATATCAAAAATATAAATCTGTTTTACTATGGTTGCAAATATCAAAAAATTTCTATATGTGACACGGCACCAGAGTTAAGTTAGGGTTTTTCAAAATGCTGACACGCCGAGCTCAAAAGGTTGGCCATCACTGGCCTAGAGCATCATGATCCTGAATTAAAATTGGGGGACGTTTCAAAACAGAAAATCTGAATGTCAACAATGAATTCATAACTCACATAATGAGATCTACAAATTCTGACGAACATACTAGGGTTATCGCAACTGATGTAAGAACATCCTTACTCTTAGGAAATAGCCATTACGGAAAAGGGGCAGGTCTGAAAACACAGTGTGTGCGTGTAAAGGGATGGGTGGGTGAGAAAGACAGGGAAGGTTTGAATAGTGAGTACAAAGAATAGATTTTTGTTCTGTTCTGTGCAATTTTTCTGAAGTGTGAAATTATATCAAAATTTAAAAAATATTCTAGTGTGAAACATAAATGTGGCATGTATGATCTAACTAGTTTTCAACTCAAATTAGCCTATATTCCGAGAGACGCAGAGGAGCTTCGGTGGCCGAGCTGCAGCACCAGGCAAAGTCAGAATACGCCAGTGCACTCAGCAGGCTGCAGGCCCCCAGCTCATCCCAGCTTGCCCCCGTGGGTCCAGGGAGACTAGTCACAGAGAGAACGCATTTCTTGTGACAATACGAGGAGCGCACAGAACTTACAAAGTTAGGTCTGAGATAAAAGCCAGATCCTGCTCATAGGTCACCTCCTACCCAATCCCATCCTGGGGACACAAAGCAGAACCAGATGACAAGCAAGATACTGGGAGCTGAAGGACCGTCCCAGAAGGGCAGCCAGTCACCCAGTGACATCTTTGGATGGGTCAGAGGCTGCTATCCCTTCTGTAGCTGTCTGGCCTCACGAGGCACAGGACCCACAAGGGATCCAGGGAGGGAGGCTGCTGCTGTGCAGAGCAGGTGCAGCTTCACCACAGCTCTCAGAGGGCCTGTGAGGAGCAGGGGAACTGAACACGGGCTTCCCCTCCATAAGAGGCTGCATGCAGGTCCTTTCTCTCCTCTGGCCTTGTCATCGGCTGCCAGCCTCTGGGACATCTGAAGGGCACCTCGTTACCTTAAAGCAACTGACGAGGCCACCACCTGGGGACCTGGGAGCCTGAGCCTCTGAAAGCCCTGGGTCCCCTGACATGTCCAGCACCAAGATGGATGAAGCTTCACCAGGAAACATGTCCCCACCTCTCCCCAGACCAGGACCATTCATACTCCTACCTCCCACCTAGCATAGAACTCCCCATGGGGACCCACCTGGGTTCTCCTCTTTGTCTGGGAATTTAATTTGAACGTTATAGTCCCGAGTGATCTGCTGGATTCTGGAACCTTTGGGGCCCATGACAGAGCGATGGAATTTCTGGGGTATGGCACACTCTATGGTCACCTGGGCTTCCTGGGGGGAGGAGGGCACAGCAAGAAGAAAAACAAAGGCAAAGATTAAGGTTAACTACTTATGGTTGATTCCTGTTTACACCACCTTCCTCTGCAGCCACTTCTGGGAGTGCAGACACTCCCCTTTTCCAAGATGAATCCAGGGCTCATCTTACAATGGGTTGAAGGGAGAAGGGTTGTGGGAGGGGCCACAGGAGGCCTTCTGAAACATTTCCCAAAAGAGGAAAGCATCAATGGTTCATCCACACAAAACTACTCTGTTGCTTGCTCCCAACCAACATTTGAATACAGCAGCATCTGATTTCTCTCCATACAGGGAGCCCCTGCTATGTTAGCACCTGGCCATGTTAGTTCCAGGTGATAGGGACCTGCAGATGCTGTGGCTGTGACTCCAGTTCTAAGGCCATGGCAGGGAGGTGCCAGGAGAGAGGGCCCAGTACTCTACAGGCTGGTTTAGAAAGCCCAGTGTGTCTATGTGACCTCTCCGTGGACTCCCTGGCACTGTCAACCTCCTTTCCTCCCTTTGGAGCAGAGGAGGAGGGAAGGCAGCTGGTTCCTGTACACATGGCACTTTCACAAAATGGACAGCCAAATTGCTTCTCACAGGCAGCCCTCACCCACTGAAGGAAGGGCGAGGAGGGAGGGAGCCTGCAACCCGAGGGATATGTTGGGGCCAAGCCCACTCCCCAGCTTTGAGTGGCTGCCAGGCCTAGCACCCTACAAACTTCTGGGTGCTCACCAGGTCTTCGATGATCTCCTGGATGCGCTTTCTGGCTGCCTCCACACATTCCTTGGCACCCTTGAGAGTCACTTTGTCACTCTGTGTGCCAGACCGCGGGAAGCTAACCATCACCCCACCGTACTCCTCGGCGATTTCCCGCAAGACTTGGCCTCTTCGAATAACAAAATGACGGTGGTGCTTGGGGTCCACCAGCATGTAGTCTTCTACCACATTATCCTGTAGCATGGAGACAAGAGAAAGTAAAGGATCAACGGTGAAGGCCCCATTCCCGATGCTCAGGTGGCCCCAGGGAGACCGGGCCTTACCAGGTTCTGAATCAAGGCCTCCAGCTCCTTTTGGGCCTCCTTGACAGCATCCTCTTTTCCGATGATGGTGATCAGGTCCTGGTCCTTGTCCTCTGCCGTCGGGAATATGATGCGGGCTCCGGTGGTGTCACGTACCTTGCGGATCTTGCCACCCCCTTTGCCAATGAGGAACTTGTGGTACTCCGGCTTGGCTCGGATGTCAACAGTGAAACTCTTGGTTTGCTGCAGAAATCAACCCCATATACATTGGCCTGATGCCACCTGCCCGGCCCCTGGAGCAGGTGAAGAAGAAGCCTGATAGGACAAGAGTGTGGGGTGGAGCTTACCTCACGCTGTCCCGACGTCCTCTTAATGAGGCTAATCAAACCTCACTCAAAGAAATGTATGGCCACGCAGACCAACTGCCCTTGTACTTTGCTTAGCCTCAGTGGAAGATACCAAGACAGAGTATCAGACCCAGAGTCCCATGCCTGTCACTTATCAGCTATTACCAAACTCTGCCAGGACCCACATGGTGTGGGGTACACCTGTACAGAACTATCAGCCCCCCTCCTCCCAACAAAGGCAGAGTGCTCTCCGTCCAGGTATTCCTTCGCCAGCGGCCTGGGTGAGCCTGCACACAGCCAGCAATGCCCAAAGCTAAAGCTCAGAGACCCTAGCCAACCAGGACACCATCTGACACCAAGAAACTAGACTCAGCCCTGGCCAGTGTGACTCAGTTGGAGTGTTGTCCCATACACCAAAAGGTGGTGGGTTTGATCCCCAGTCAGGGCCTGTGCAGGAGGCAAACGATTGATTTTTCTCTCTCATATCAATGTTTCTCTTTCTCTCTCCCCCACCCTTCCTCTCTCTCTAAAGTCAATAAAAACTATTTATTTATTTATTTTTAAAATTTGGGCCCAGGAAAGACCCCACCACAGGAACCTTGCTGCAACGCCAGCTACTCTGGCAGATTGATTCACCTGGAGGGACACGCTTCTCTAGGGTGACTCAGGCTCACAAGCAGGAAGAAGAAACACAAGGAAGAGCAAAGCAGGACTGCCGGATGCTAGCAGCACACCCATATTTTGTCACCTTCCAAGTGCTGACTCCACAGAACACCACAGAGAGCCTCTAACTTTAGACAATTACTCGCAAATAGCAGCAATGGAAAGCTAAAAGTTTAGGCAAGCCCAATCCAGCAATACAATAAAGGATGACACAAAAAACCAAGTGGGGCTTCCCCAAGAATACAAGGTTGGTTAAACATTAAAAAAAAAAAAATCAACTCCTGCTATGCAACACATTGGAGGCCCCTAGCAACGCAGCAAGATGAGACACATAGGTGTACATAACAGAAGTGCACTGTCCACTCACAGATTATGTGTTTTACATAAAACTCACAAGAATCACCCTAGCCAGTTTGGCTCAGTGGACAGAGCATCAGCCCGCAGACTGAAGGGTCCCAGGTTTGATTCTGGTCACGGGCACATGCCTTGGTTGCAGGTTCCCTGACCCTGGTCAGGGTGTGTGCAGGAGGCAACCAATCAATGTGTCTCTCTTACACTGATGTTTCTCTGTCTCTCCCTCTCCCTTCCACTCTCTCTAAAAATCAATGGAAAAATATCCTTGGGTGAGGATTAACAAATATCTATATATATAAAAGCCTAATATGCCAAGCGTCCAACCGTTTGACCAGTCACTACGACACACACTGACCACCAGGGGGCAGACGCTCCGACCGGTAGGTTAGCTTGCTGCTGGGGTCTGGCCGATCAGGACTGGGTCAGACGGGCCGGACACACACTGGAGCCCTCCCACAGTCCCTTCCCGGCCTGGATCATGCACTGGTGGGGTCCCTTGACCTGGCCTGTGCACTCTTGCAATCTGGGACCCCTCGGGGGATGTCGGAGAGCTGGTTTCAGCCAGATCTCCGCAGGCCAGGCCGAGGGACCCCACTGATGCACGAATCCATGCACCAGGCCTCTAGTAAAAAACAAACAAAAAAAACTCCTAAGAATCCACACAAAAAGCTACTGGAACTAATAAGTGAGCTTTACACCAGACACACAAAACAAGGCCAATACACAAAATCAAGTATGTATTTCTACGCCCTACATTATGAATTACAAGAGTACCATTTATGATAGTATTAAAAAACAAAACAGATGTAAAATTGAACAAAACATGAATAAGACCTGCATGCTAAGAACTACAAAATGCCAATGAAAAGTCAAAACCTTAAAAAATTGATGTGCTAGACTGGAAGATTCAGAAATGCTGAGAATTCTCCCGAATTTGATCTTTAGCTTTGACATAATCCCAATAAAAATCCAAGCAGGAATTTTCCCCCCGGAAATTTTCTAAATGCTTTTGGAAAGGGAAAGGTTCTGTAACAGCCACAGCAATCTGAAATGCAAAAACGCTGCTGGACCCACCAGGTGTCCCGTCAAGGCAGCCACTCCAACCTGTGGTGTCCCTGGAATGGAGCAGCGCGTCCACACACAGACTGGCAGACAGGTTTGATGAAGTGGCAACGGCGATTCAATGAAGAATTTGGGGGCCCGATGAGCAAAACATGTTATTACAGAGGTGGTCACACAAACACTGTTTGTGAACACTACATTAACAAGGGTGGATTTAACTATATAAAAATACTTTTTAAGGTAAACAATAGATTTCCTACTTTACAGACGTGGGCATCTGACCTCGAAAGACCCTTCAGTAATGGCAAGATCAAAGAGACATAAAGGTACATGAAGTTTTCTGACCTGCCACAAAGAAAGGGTTTTTAAAGTTTCTATCCTGAAGAGAGGACACTTCTAGCAAGTAGCACACAGTGACCCCTCCCGTGGTGGCACTCACCTTCTCCTCTGCCAGGTGCAGAAGCTGTTTCTTGGCCTTCTCCACATCCGAGGAAGGGCCCCTGATGACAACTGTGTCGCTTCCCGAGCCTTCCACAGGGAAGTGAATGTGGACCCCGCCGCACTCCTCCATGATGGAGCGGATCAGGCGACCCTTCGTGCCAATGAGGGAGTTGTGCAGCTTGGCAGGGATGGAGACCTCCACCTCGGCTATGTTGGCCTGAAATCACACACGGCACAAGAGAACCACATTTTTGTGTGGCAAGAAGGGCAAGAGTGAGAGTCAGCCATAATCGGTGTGGTGAGTATTCAATAGACCTGGTGCAGAAGGAGCCCAAAGCGTGCATACGTGCGTGTGTATGTCACACAGTGCAGAAGAGAAGCTGCGATGTCAGATCATAAACAGCGCTGCTCCTTCAGGCCCTCTCTGGTTCGAGCAGTAAAGACAAGTTTGAGATGCTTACGGATCAACCTTTCCCATTAAACTATATATAAGCAAGGACTCTGCCTCCTACCAAGATGAAACAACAAAGACTGCATTTATCTGCCACATGAAACAATGGTGTTCAAGACCCTGGAGACAAAAGCAAATGAGGTGATCCCTATGACTGCGCCCTGGTTGAGCCCCTGAACTGAGGACACAAAGCTGACAGCCCAGGAAGATCAAGGTGCTAGGAGCTGGTGGGTCAGAGCCCAAGAAGAGAGAATGTGGAGAGAGACTCCCATATTGACACATGTAGGGAGACTGCCTGGGCCAGGGAAAGAACCAGCAGAACGAGAGAACGCGGGGATGGCAGCTTAGTCAGTGTCCACAAGTATAGGACCCTGGGCACAGTACTCAGAAGGGTCTCACCTCAAGAGGGAACAACTGGGCCTACACCACCACCCTGACCCCACCTAACAAGTCCAAAAAGGAGCAAACTGTTTCAAAGTAACTTAATAAAGCATAAAGGTATTTACAGAAACCACAAAAGTATCCAGCATCCACCAAAGTAAACTTCATAATGTCTGGCATAATAAGAAAAATACTGGATATGCAAAGACACAGGGGAAAATCCCACAACCAGGATAAAACAATAGAAAACAACCCAGGAATGACACTAAAACAGGTATTTTCACTATACAGCATACAATCAAGAAGCCAAAGGAAATGACTAAACGTGTCAGGTATAAAACCAAAAAAATTTAAATTGAACTTCTACAGGTGAAAATAGTATCTGAAATGAAAAATATACTAGATGGGGTCACAGGCAGAATAGACATTGCAGAAAACTAATGAATTGAAAGAAACTCATGAAGAAAAACTTAGCAAACCCCTCTCCCCTCCCAAATAAACAGAGAGCCAGTGAATGGTAGGATGTCATGCTGCCTAACACTCAGTAATTAGACTCCCTGAAGGGGAGGACAGAAAAAACTATTAAATAATGACCTTAATTTTTCCAAATTTGATGAAAACTCTAACCTCAAATATCCAAGGAGTTCAATGAACTCCAAGCAAAGAAACATGAAGAAAACTACAAAGCTGGTGATACAATAAAAAAAATAGCATAGGAAGGACTAGTCTGTGCAGATGAGTGAAGCAAAGGATAATGTTGTACGTCTATTATATCTCAATTAAAAAATGAAGTACTGCCCTAGCTGGTTTGGCTCAGTGAATAGAGTGTCAGCCTGCGGACTAAAGGGTCCCAGGTTCAATTCCGGCCAAGGGCACATGCCTGGGCTGTGGGCTTGATCCCCCTCAGTAGGGGGCATGCAAGAGGCAGCCAATCAATGATTCTCTCATTATTGATATTTCTATCTCCCTCCCTCCCTTCCTCTCTGAAATCAATAAAAAATATATATTTAAAAAAAATGAAGGACTGATATACATAACATGGATGAATCTCAAAATAATTATGCAAAGTGAAAGCAACTAGACTCAAGAATAGATACTATGACTCTCTTAGACAATCACATGAAAATTCAAGCTCATCTACTTTAACAAAGCGGACTGGGGGTTCGACAGACACAGTGGGGGAGCTGGGAGAGTGACGCTTGACAGAGGTGCTAATTGGTTTGGCTCAATGGATAGAGCATTGACCTGCAAAATGAAGGGTCCCAGGTTCAATTCTGGTGAAGGGCACATGCCTGCGTTACGGGCTCTATCCCAAGTGGGGGACGTGCAGGAGGCGACAAATCAGTGATTCTCTCTCATCACTGATATTTGTATCTCTCTCCCCCTCTCCCTCCCTCACTGAAATTAATAAAAATATATTTAAAAAAGGGGGGAGGCACAAGGCTTATTTTGGGGGTGATGGGTAAGTGCATTATCTTGACTGTGGAGGGGATTTCATGGACATATACATATGGCAAATGTATCCAACTGCACACTTTAAATATGTTCAGTTTCTTACATGTTCATTTTTCAAAAATTGGGAAAAATATAACACCTTGAGGACATGAAAATTTCCCAGCACCCAAGTCAAATGCTACTACTGCTTAGGACTATCAATAACACTGCCAGAGATCACCACCCAGACCAAAGCTCCTCCACGAGGGGCTCTGGCCCTCCTGTCCCTTCCTGGCCCCAGGCCAGAGCCTGTCCTACAGCCAGCTCCACATTACCAGGTCTTTCTGGATGGACAGGATGCGGCTCCGGGCAGCCTCGCAGTTGGCCCGCTTGCCTGTTATGATGATGGTCTCCGAGTTGCTATTTTCTGCTGGAAGGTCGATCTTGGTATTGCTTTCTTCACGAATCTACGAGAAAGACGCAGTGAGAAGCAATTACCATTGAGACACCCGGAGCCCAGAGCTAGGAAGTAAGGCCCCTCCTTCAAATTTAAAGCCAGAATAGCACAGGACCACGGCCAGTCACCTTTTTAATGTTTGCGCCTCCTTTCCCAATGATGTTCTTGTGAAACTGCTTGAAGATCGGAACAGAGATCGAATAGCTATTTTCCACCTTAAAAACAAGAGATTGCCAGATTAACTGTCAAGCTAGAGCGTCCCTAAACGACAGAATGCTAGGGAAGACTTTGTCCTGCGTCTCTCTTACTTTCTGACCTTCAGAAGTCGTCACGAGGATGGGTGAGATAACTACTCAACAACTAACTCACCTGGCCTGTCACAGTTGACAGGTGCAGGGCCCCCTTTTATAAAAAGTGGACTGCCACAGACCCTACAACCTGTCAGATGTGTGTTCCACAATCCAGAAGCAATCAAGTCTACCCAGGTGCCCTCAATTGGCCCTCTAGGGCAGTGATGGCGAACCTATGACACGCGTGTCAGAGGTGACACGCGAACTCATTTTTTTGGTTGATTTTTCTTTGTTAAATGGCATTTAAATATATAAACTAAATATCAAAAATATAAGTCTTTGTTTTACTATGGTTGCAAATATCAAAAAATTTCTATATGTGACACGGCACCAGAGTTAAGTTAGGGTTTTTCAAAATGCTGACACGCCGAACTCAAAAGGTTCGCCATCACTGCTCTAGGGTAAAAGGGAGTGGGTGCCACTACAGGAGGACAGCAGGCTGGGGATGGACAAAAAGAGGATTAAGCTCAGAACACCCAGCTCTACGGGGCAGCAGGACAAGCTCAGTGCTAAGGAGCCCAGGCAGCTCCTCTCCCAGGGGGTCACAAGCTAAGTGCATGCCCGCAAGTGACTGTAGAGAGCACAGGGACACCTGCAGCCTCTCCATCAACCATCTCCTCCCTTTCTAGGTCTGAGGAAAGGAACAATCCATAAATGACACTACTTGTACAAGTCTCTCTCCTCACTGGATGGGACAGTTTCCTAGGTGTCTGAAGACCCATGAAGGAAACAAGGTCACTTGGTATGGGACATAGAGGAGCTCCCCTCTTTAATTCCATGGAACACTCAAGTTGTGACAATTTCTGCCAGTGTAATTTCAGGTGTTGAAAGGTAGCATCATGACTTTGTCCCAAGTCCCTGAGACGGCAGACTCACCTAATGCCCAAGTGTGCTGATGGCACACGTCCCCTACCCCCCGCATCACACAATAAAGGATGGAAAGCATCTCCTACCAAATCAGCAACCATCTTCTGCATGTATTTTGTACACTTTTCCACTTCATTCTTGGGCCCTCTAAGTTGGACAATATCACTTTTTTGTGCTGGGTCTGGAAAGTTGATGATAACCTAGAATAAATCACCAGGAGACCAAGTTCGATTATTGGTGAGAACGCTAAAAAACTGAATACTCCCAAGTGCCAATCAGACCGCTGCCGGAGGGTTATCAAAATAAGGCTGCTGGGAAACTACCTCTGGGAATTTGTCCCGAATTTCACGAATCCGTTCACCCTTCTGCCCAATGATTGTGCGATGAAATCTCTGCTCAATGATTAGATCCTTGGTACGCTCGTTTTCCTGAAAATACATGGACAGGAAATAAATGCACTTATTATAAGCAAGGTGAACAACCTCCCTCACAGCAGGGAGGTAGTGCCAGCCACACTGGCCAGTAGACAGCACCCACTAGCTACCTGCCCTCTCCACCTGCCACACTGTGTGCTGCCCTGGGTGCACACTGTTCTCCTGAACAAAGTGTAATGAAAGAACTGAGTGCAGACCCCTCTAACCAAAAGTGCTACTGCAGGAGCCATATTTACCAGTGCCATTCACTCAGTGCTGTGTTTTAACAAGAACTGAGGCCTGACACTGCACAGCAGGGAATGATCCCTCCTCACCACCAGGAGGCTGGGATGACTGCCCACGTGCATTAAGAATCACTCAACATGGGGCACTGAACCTCCATGGTCCACACTATCCTCCAGAGCAGCAGTTGCCAACCAGTTGACGACCGCTGCTCCTGAGGGCCCGTTACGTCAGAAGATATATAAGCAGGGGTGGAAAGCAGGGAAAAACACTACCTATCTGGGAGATTCTGGAGCATTGGGGTGACAGAGAAACGAGTGTTCAGCACTCTAGTAACTAGACGCCAGAGCAAGGGACCATGGATGGTCAGGATAAGAGCTGGCTGATGTAGGGGAGAACCTAGGACACTCCCAGGCTGAGGAGTAAGTTCAGGGACAGCCAGAGAGTGGCAGAAGGCCATGCCATGCCCTGGACTACAGCTGAGGCCACGAAGTTACTACATAAAGCTGGCCTCCAATTTGGGAACCTTCGCATGGGTAGTGAAAACATCTACAAGCATGTCAAACTTGCGGCCCTCGGGCCACATGCAGCCCACAACCAATATTTTTGTGACCCAGCCAATATGGTATGTAAGAAATGTTTTAATAAAAATTTCATAACTTAATTTTTACAATATCCTGTTACACATTATATATATATAAAAGCCTAAGCAACTGTTGACCAGTCACTATGATGTGCACTGACCACCAGGGGGCAGAAGCTCTGACGGGTAGGTTAGCTTGCTGCTGGGGTCCAGCTGATAGGGACTGGGCAAGACATGGCTGGACATGTCCTGGAGCCCTCCCGCAGTCACTCCCTGGCCCAGATCGTGCACTGGTGGGGTCCTAAGCGCTCTCACAATCCGGGACCCGTTGGGGGATGTCGGAGAGCAGGTTTCGGCTGGATCACTGCAGGCCAGGCTAAGGGACCCCACCAGTGCACAAATCCGTGCACCAGGTTTCTAGTTATTATTAATGAGCTATGTTTGCTAATGACTGATTACTATAATTGTGTTGCATTCATGCCTCTTACGCTGGGCAGGTGCACCATTTCTTTCCACTTATACCAGCAGCAAATATTTTGGCAGCCAATTGCCATGTCATTAGTCTTGTACTGACTTGTTTGGTGTTTGCAACAGGAAATATTTTGCTTTCGGAGAACAAGAAAAATAGGTTTATTTGCGTTATGCTTATTAATTTGTGCAGTTTTCAGTGTCTGGTGAGTTAATGTCCAAGAAAAAGTATTAATTTTTATTAAAACGTTCTATTATTTTATGTTAACGATTACTCATTTACTTCAGCCCTTTGTATTCAGCATGTCTCTATCGAAATAAACCTACGTTTCTATGAAAATTGAAGCTTTTGTTTTTTTTGCAGCCCACATAAACTTAAACCTTGTTATTTGGCCCATGTTAGCCTTTGAGTTTGACATGCTTGATCTATAAGAACGCCAGGGTAAAGGAAGCTGACCCTGGGACTTGCTCCTACCCTGACGAGGTAGAAGTCCTACATTGCCTTGGGCTTTCCTGAGAGTCTGTACATGTTCATGCTAAGCTCTGAGCACTCATACAATATTGGACTCATCTGGAGTCAAAGGCACCCCAGTGAGTCACGTGCAGCCCAGGGTGAGACTCACTATTGTGTGGTTATGTGTATTTGACTCAGTTGGGTGCTGGTAGCAGGCTGAGGACAGCGTAGTACTTTAATCTGGACGTAGCGAACAAGGCCCACTGTGTCCCCTTTCTGTTTGCAGATAACGTCATACCAGTGACTCTCAATCTTAGACACACACGAGTAATCTGTCTGCCTCTGAAAATCCAGAAAAGTCTCTCACAATCCCTGGAGTTGGTACTGACGCGTCATGGAAGCCAGGGTTTGACCAAGGCTAAGTTCTCCACTGCAGATCTCCAGAGCCCCCCGGCATAGCAGTAGCCCAACGAGACACTTAGCGATTCCATTCTCTGGGACATGCCAACAATGCTCCCGCAGGACCCGCCACAGGGCTCACCATGCGGGAGGCAAGCTCCAACAGCTCCCGCTTGGCCTGCTGCACACCCTGCGGGTCCCCCTCAATGCGGATCAGGTTGCTCTTCTCGCTGTCGGGAGGGATGCGTACAGACACCTTGTACTGATCTTTGATTCTGTTGACTTAAGAACAAAAGGAAACATTTTGGACTCAGACTGTATTACAGTCCACCAATGATTAACATGGTTAAAGCCCCAAATAACCTAACCAGTCACCCCAAAGCAGAAAGGATGATGAGGCCCCCCAGAGCAAGACTGCCCCTATTCTAGCAGGAGCTGGGCACAATCTCCACAGGACTGACCACATGGAGCATCGACCTGTCCATGCTGAACAACTGCTCAGAGCCTGAGACTAAGCTGATCTGGAGTGTGTCCAAGGCTTAGAATACAGCAGGTCCTCACATAACGTCGTTTTGTTCAACATGCTTTCGTTATGTTGATGAGAAAAAAGTTGACTCCCAGTGGACTGTGTGGAGTTTCCTCTGAGGACTCCAGGTTCCTTCCACATCACAAGGATGTGCACGTGAGGGAAATGCCCTGTCTGCACTGTCCCCATCTTTGTGAGTGTGCAGATAACGTCATACCAGTGACTCTCAATCTTAGATACACACAAGAGTCATCTGTCTGCCTTTGAAAATCCAGAAAAGTCCCTCAGAATCCCTGGAGTTGGAAGGGCAACAGTCCAGGGTGGGTCCCACCTTGTACCCTGAGCTGCCAGGAGAGGCTCCAGCCACACATGACCCTAAATTGGAATGAGTGGTGAAGAGAGAATTATTTTGTTTCATTAATTTTTCTCAAATATATGTGTAGCTCACATTTCATGTTTAATATTTAAAGAGTTTTGGATTTTCATTTAAAATTTGGTGATGTTTTTGTGACAAATGTCATAGGAGCCCGGCCAGTATGGCTCAGTGGTTGAATGTTGACCCATGAACCAAGAGGTCACAGTTCGATTCCTGGTCAGGCCACATGCCCTGGTTTTGGGCTCGATCCCCAGTGGGGGTTGTGAGGAGGCAGCCGATTGATGATTCTCTCTCATCGTTGATGTGTCTATCTCTTTCCCCCTCTCTCTTTCTGAAAATAAATAAGATTTAAAAAAATAATAAAAATTAAAAACCAGAAGCCCTTACATTAACTGAAAATGAGAGCACCCCCATCAACTACCTCAGAACCCCTTGGCGGCCATGCTGTTGCCTAACACTCCATTGTCAGCTCAGGTGCAAACTGAGCTCTTCACTGTCTTTGCAAAACAGGTGGAGTTGAAAACCCTCCTCCAGCACCTTCTCTAGCACCTAGTGCCCACCGTTAGAGATCTGGCCCCACACCCTGGAGAAGCCTTATCACCAGAAACAGGGTCAGCATTTGGTCCACTGTGTAATAAGGGAAGCCAAACTCCTTAAAGGGTCACAGGGAGGGTTCCAAGCACAGAGATAGCCATGAGCCCATGTGCTAGGACATGGGCCGGAAGTGGCACTGTTCCAAGGTGGAACCATGCAGGACAACAGACAAGCACACAGAAGCTGGTGGCAGGTTTTAGATTATGAAAGAAAACAAGGGTTAGGAAATGAACCAGAAGAAACAGAACAGACACAATTCTCTGAATCACACTGAGTTGTTCCACACGTCCTAGGGAGCAGAAATCAGAGATTAATATTAGCATTGCATTTCCTTACATTCTTAAGGAAACACTACAGTTAACCAAAATAAACAAAGAGAACAAAAGCAAGTTTATGGTGTGTGCAGGTGAGCAGTGACCGGAGCTGCTCTGAGTGCGTGCAATGTCGTCTATTGTTTAAAATGCTCCCATAACACAAAACTGGCACCAAATAAAGCAGGTGACAAGTTTACATGTACTCTGAAAAAAAAAAAAAAAAAAAGGGGATCGCACAGGGCAAAATCCAAAGAGGGCGCACTCACAGAGACATCATGCTTAGTGAGGTGAAGTCCTTGCAACTTAGGGAAGGACCCACGACCAGGTTAAGTGCTAGCCCTCACCTCCCACTGAAGGTGAAACACAGGACTGTCTCCAGAACTAGTAAGCACTGTGATGTGCATGATGGCCATGCAGTTAAACTGAGCAAAGGAGATTTTAAAACACATCCTGGGATTCAAGCAGAACTCACCTAACACATTTCCAATGCTGCCCCACCTTGTGCTACCTACCTGACACAGGTAATCCAACACGGAACCTGGGCTCACATATTACTGTTTGTCCAACAGAATCCCTCCCTGAGTTGTCTGACTTGGGCATGAGTCTAGAAACGTCTGACTCCTTGGTGAGCTCCACGTCAGGGGTTAGAGGTGAGGAGGACAACACTGGTGGACTTCACCCAGCAGCTCTGGTTGAAACATGCAGGATGACACCCTGGGGAGTCCCTTTGCCATGGCCCTTGTGGGTGACTCAGGTAACTGACCCAGTTGATCACATTCATCTCTAGGCCAAACAACTGGGTGAGGGCACCCAGTCAAATAGCTGGTGGCTTTTCTCCCAGCCTGCCCCCATGGTGTCCACTTCACTCACTGTTGGCTCCGCTCTTCCCGATGAGGTGTCTGTGAAACTTGTGGTCAATGCTGATCTCCACATAGTCCATGCGGTGAATCTGCAAGGACACAGAGCACATCCATGGGACATGCCAGCTGGGCAGCCAGAACCACAGGAGAGAGCCAGCAGCTGCCGCCTTTTCTGACCACTCGGCCATCAAGACTATTGCAAGCTCATCCCTCTGGCCCCCTTGAAAGACCCTTCCTCAAAATAATGTTTTCTCTCTCCATGGCTCTGGCCAGCTTCTAACTCTCAGAATGCACCACTCTCCGACTGGGCCAGCCTCTTGTCTCTACGCCCACCCATGAAGCCTGACTGCCACACGACACAATGACAGCCCATCCCCAGTTCAAAGCACTTTGGAACACTCACAGGGACATCTTACCAAGTCTTTCACCATAGCTTCGATCTGTTCCTGGGCCACATTTACATCCTCCGTGGGGCCTTCCAGGGTGATCTTGTCCTCGCCTTCTGTAAACTCGATGTGAACCTACCGCACCAAAATAAGAGACAGTGAACACGAGATGGCACAGTGGCAGCGACTGATTCCAAACTGCTGCACGAGAATGCAAATCCACCAACACCATGAAAAAGTGCAAAGGGGGCCTGAGGACAACCATTATTTTGTTACTTAATATAGTCTAATCATCTTTCCTTTACCAAAAACAGGAACTGTGAAATCCTTCACACTGTGCTTGTCACCAATACCTTAAAGCATGAAATACCTTAGCACACCTTCCTATATCACTCTCACTGTAGAACCCCTACTCCCATCTGATTGCATAAAGAATGAGACAGCTAACAGGGACGGAATTTTAACCCCAGTATAGCTGCCTGAGGGTGGTCACCAGACCACCTGTTTATAACACACCAGATGAGAAGGTGACTTCATAGGGGACTAGCCTCACGAAGTTATCACATTAAGTGTGACCAGGACTTTGATCTTAGAAATAAAGTGGCTACAGGGTAAATAGGACACGACACCCACACATAATAGGAATCCAACACAATGGTGTGTCCTTTGGTGTTTCCTGGGGAAAACTGAGGCCTCCAGGACAGAGGTACAGAGGTACAGAGGACAAGTCTACGAGCTCTACACTTCATACAGTTTGTAGACAAATTTTGCTCTTCAGAATTTGCAGACATAACTATTAGGAAGTTATTATGCCATAGTAACTAAGTGAGGTATTTCTTAAGATATTCATCAAACCTAGCATTCTCTCTGGTTAAAAAGACCAAAAGACATCTTAAAAAAGAGGTATTTAAAAAAACGTATTCTAATTAAAAAAAAAAAATGTGCCGCCGTCTTCAAAGGCACCCCAAGGGATAAACAGCAACACCAAAACAAAAGTTAGTCAGCAAGAGGACAACAGAATGCAAGGCCAACCCAGTGCAGCAGGTCAACATGTTCCCTCACCTTTGGCATCTGCTGAGTGATCTTGGCCAAGTTCTGCCCCTTCTTGCCAATGATGAAACGGTGAAGCCAAGAAGGAGCAGAGACGGAGGAGACTGTAAAACTGTTGGCCTAGGAAAAGAAGCAAACAAACCAACGTCCAGGCTACCTAAGCACGCACCAGGTTGCTCAGTTGGACTTAGCGATAGACGAGCACCCTGACGCAACACGGCCCGGGCCCTGGATCCCCTGGGAGGCAGTTACCTTGGCATAGACCTCAGTCAGTGCCTGCCCTAGCTTTTCAGGCTCCCCTCGAAGTATCACAGTCTCAGAGATGCTGTCGGACGGTGGGATCTCCACAGAAACTCCAGTTCTTTCGAGAATCTCCTGCAAGGAATTGCCCTTGGGCCCAATGACATACTTGTGCTGGGATTTCTTCACTTCCACTGCGATGGTTGTGGTCTTCTTTTTCTAAGTAAGAGTACCATAAAGATGTCAGAGGGAAGGGCACAGGAGAGGCAGGCGAAGACAGAATATTGTCACCAAAAGGGCAGGGATCAGGACACGGGGCCTAGACTACAGCTGCTGAGCCCCGGAAGGAGAAACAATGACCAGCCAATCCCAGAAACCCCACTCATCATGGGTTGGGTTTTCTCCTTAGAAGAATCACCTGATAATTTGTCAAGCCCAAACTGATTATTACAACTTGGAAAAGCAGTGATCAGTTTGGAAGAGCAGTGATACCAAATCCTCTCCTCAAATTAAGGAACAAGTTTCAGACCTCAAAGTCACCAAATGGAGCTAACAGCTTACTCAAAGATGTGGCGACTTGTGAGCAGTGCATCTAGCCCAGGGTGGGAGAGTGAGGGAGGCGGGAGGCGGAGTGAGGTTGGCAGATAGAAGGGAAAGCCTTCAGCACGAGCTCAGTTCACTCTCCATTCCTGCCCATGGGGATTTCCCTCCTCCCACCGCTACCTTTTCTTCATAAATCTTCTTGATCCGAGCCACAGCCTGAGCCAGCTGCTCCTTCTCCCCAGTGAAGACGATTTCTGTCCGGTTGACGCTGGGTGGGGGGATGTTGATGCGCGTCCCTGTTTCTTGCATGATCTCACTGACGAGTCGATTATAAGGCCCAGCGATGAAGGGATGGAATGCCTTCTCCACTTCTAGCCTCTCTACAGCACGTTTATCCTGGAAATGAAAGGACACAGCTGAGCACAGGTCTGGGCACAACCTGGACAGATAGGGCCTGTTGGGGTCAAGGCTGCCATATGAATACTAGGTCCACAGTTGGCCTTACCTGCTCGGCAGAGATGAGCAGGACTTCGTGGCGAGCTTTCTCGATGCCCTCTTTGGTGCCAGTGATTCTGATCTGGTTACTTGCGTCATCTGGGCGTGGGATTTGAATTTTGGTTGCCGTTTTTAGCTCCAAGTCTTGTAGTTTCTCTCCATTTTTACCAATAACAAAGCGATGATGTTCTTTGGGAATGGCAACAGTTGCTGAGGCCTACAATAGGTGGAGAAACAAAGAAAATAAAAGTACTTGTAGGTTATGAAAAAGCATGTTTTTCCATAATATTCTCTCCGGTTAGAATGCAAGTCTCATCTGATTTTGCCTAGCCAACCCCCATTATCCTTTAGAATAGTGTCAGGTTAAACATCACCTTCTTGGGAATGCTTTCCCAGACATCCTGCCTAGGGTAAGTTCAAGTGTGGTATGACCCGGGTCACACTTTCAGCTATCACAATTATTTAGAGATAATTCTTTATTCAACATCTTCTCGGCCCAGCTACAAGCCACCACTAAGACAGGGATATTCGCCCTGGCCAGCTTGGCTCAGTGGATGGAGCATCGGCCTGCGGACTCAGGGGTCCCGGGTTCGATTCCGGTCAAGGGCATGTGCCTTGGTTGCGGGCACATCCCCGGTGGGGGGTGTGCAGGAGGCAGCTGATTGATGTTTCTCTCTCGTTGATGTTTCTAGCTCTCTATCCCTCTCCCTTCCTTTCTGTAAAAAATCAATAAAATATATTAAAAAAAAAAAAAAAAGACAGGGATATTCAAGTTCATCTGTCTTGTTTTCCATGTTGGTGACTCCTAACACCATATTGGGACATCGTTGGAGGCAGGGATGTACTGACAGACCAGATTCATTTCTGTTTCTGGAGTACTGGGCTACCTTTTTCAGACATAAACCCTATGTCTGTTAATAAACTTTTCTACCTGTCTCTTTTACAAGCAAATAAAACAGACAACTCATCTGAGTAAAGAAAATGGAAACAATCCAAACCCTTCATCTAGTAAGTCCAACTGTCAGAAATCAACCAACTTCCTGAGGTCACAGAGAAACCTGGGAGGAAGATGGCCGTTTCTATTCTTTCTAACTCTGTACAGAGAACAGCCAGCAACTTAAAAAGAAGCAAACCATTAAGGTTCCCACCACTGTCCCAGCAAAGTCACAGATCAGCCAGCTTCTCTTCTCCCCCAAGGCGTACAGTTTCACACAGAATATTCAACATTTACAACAGAAACCGTTAAATTGTATCACAGAGGCAATAGAAAAGGTCCTCACTTCACAACTAGCATAGAAAATAAGACCACTGGCTTCTACATTGTGATCAAATGAGGTTTAGTCCAAAAATGATTCAATATTAGGAAATCCATTTATATAATTCAGCATATTGTTAGATCTATGAAGAGAAATAATCAAATGATCATGTCCACAAAATTTAAATCCATCCATGATAAAAATTTACAAGAAAATAGAAATCAATGGATATTCAGTTGATCCCCTTGAACACAGGTGTAAACTGCACAGGTCCACTTATATGTGGATTTTTACTATATTTTTTAACATGACAAAATACATTTACCTCAGCCCCAAAGCTCTACTTAATGGGAAAGTGCTTGTTTAGGCCATGCACTGCCCGCACCATGACTTTACCTCCACTGGAGCAGGTCCCCACACAAGAGGGGCACAGGCTGCACAGGAAGAGCACCTGCCCACACAGCCTCGAACCCTGGGAAACTGCTGCTTTATTACATTTTTCTTACTGTCTATAACAGGAAGGCAAAATTAGAATACAGAAGTCAACTGCCTTTGTTTTTTATAACAACTGATTTTTATTTTTTAATTGAATTTAGAGAGAGGAAGGGTGAAAGAGGAAGGGAGAGAGGAAGATATCGATCAATTGCCTCCCACATGGTCCCCGACTGAGGATCAAACCCCCAACCCACATATGTGCCCTGACCAGGAACTGAACCTGCTACCTTTTGGTGTACAGGAGAACACTCCAACCAACTGAGCCACACCGACCAGGGCCAGAAGCCAACAGCTTTATCTTAACTAAAAACAACCGGGTTAGAAAATGTATGAAAAAGACGATCCTTTCCAATAGGCAAAAGAAAGGAAAAAGACAATAAAGTAGTTGGACTATAAGCCAGTAAAAGAGGTGGAATGTAGGCATTAGCAATCAGAAAACATCCCTTAGGAGGTCTAATGCAACTGTGAGCAAAAGGCTGATTATAAAGTTTGCATGTAAACAAAAAAGAATACAACAGACAGGAAAACCCTAAAAAAGAACAGTACGGGAGAGATGGGAAACACTGTACTGTATACACATGAAAGTATAAAACCATCAATACTAAATCAGGAGAACACTAGCACACAGAGATCCCAAAAGGTCAGAAGTGAAAACCCAGGAACATATCCAAGTTAATATGAACATTTAGAACTTGATATAAACAGCCACTCAAAATCAGTGGGGGGAAATTCCTTTAGGCCATGCACTGCCAGCACCACGGTACTGATTTAAAAAAAATATTGATGATGGGAAAGCCATATGGGAAAGAGTGAAACTGGATGTGTAGCCCACACCATTCACAATAAATTCCACACAGAACAGGAACTGGAATATAAGAACACCCTTAATGCACCAGAGGAATACAATAAACATTCTTACAATACCTATGTGAAAAAAACTTTCCTAACAGTGACTCAAAATAACAAACTGTTCAATGAATTTCACTACACATTAATAAACTTTCACAAAGCAGAACACAAGATCAAACACAAATGGCAAACTGGGAAATATTATTTGTAACATATGACTGAGAAGGGTTTTTAGGAGCCCTAATACACTGAGCAAGATGCACAACTTTAACTTGATAGAAAAGGGCAAAAGAACAGACAGTGCACAGAGAAAAGCAAAAGGCCTTTGGATGTGGAAAGATGCTTAATCTTGCTCACCAGAACAATGCAAATAAGTTTACTTAGTCCTAACCAGTTTGGCTCAGTGGATAGAGCAGCGGCCAGAGGACTGAAGGGTCCTGGTTCGATTTTGGTCAAAGGCACGTACTTCAGTTAAAGGCTCGATCCCTGGCCCTGGTGGGGACATATGCAGGAGGCAACCAATTGATATGTCTCTCACATCAATGTTTCTCTCTGTCTCTACCCATCCCTTTCTCTCTCTCTAAAAATCAATGGAAAATATCCTTGGGTGAAGACTGCCAACAACAAAAAAGTTTACTCCGCTGCTTTTCAGCCTGAAACATTCAAATACTGGCTGGGCCTGGCTTGGCCATGGGGAAGGAATGGAGTGCAAGGGTACAGCCTGGAGGAAGGGGACCTAGCTGTTATGGCAAAATCACACCTGCTGCTACTGCTGACCCATCACCTTCTTGGAAACCAACCCTGAGATATACTAGGTAAAATAGGAAATGGCATGTGCACAAGGTTTTCCTGTGACATGATTCATAACAACAGAAATTGGGAAGCTACTCAAATGCCCATCAATGGGAATGCCTGAATAATTCCCTGGGCACCACATCCCTTGGTTGTATGAAGAAGCGAGGAAGGTCGCTATGTGCTAATATGCAGACACCTCCAAAAAATATGCAGGAAAAACAGGATGTAGGACAGAGTCTATGGCCAGCTACCTTTTGCTCCTATTCTCCAACCCAAATAGGGAGGATACACCAAAGACTAAGAATGTCACCCAGGCCTGGAGGGTGTTGCTCAATGGTTGAGCATTGACCTGTGAACCAGGAGGTCACTGGTTCAATTCCCGGTCTGGGCACATACCTGGGTTGTGGGCTTGATTCCCAGTAGGGGGCGTGCAGGAGGCAGCTGATTAAAGATTGTCTCTCATCATTGATGTTTCTATCTCTCTCTCCCTTCTCTGAAATAAAAAAATAAAAAATAAAAATAAAAGCCACCAAGCAGGTAGGGTGGGAGAAGGACGAAGAGTCTGGCTCTGCATGTACCTACCTGATCGCACAGCTTTGACTGTGCAATCATCAAATGTTTAAGTTACTTTTTAAAAAATGTAACTTAAAATTTTTTTAAAAATTTTAGAGAGAGGGAGGGAGAGGGAGGAGGAGAGAAGAGAGAGAGAGAGAGACATGGATCAGTTGCCTCCCACACACACCCTGACTGGGCATTGAACCCACAACCTGGGTATGTGCCCTGACCTGGTGACCTTTCAGTGCATGGGATGCTGCTCAACCAACTGAGCCACACCGGCCAGGGCTAAGTAACTGTTAAACATGGAAAATAAATAAAAGAAAATGAACCCAACTACTTAATCAGGATGATAGCCTAACATAAACAGAGAGAAAAATGACTCCAAGTGACTGCAAAATCCACAACCCTTCACCTTAATTAGAAGGCTCAGTAACTCAAGAAACTTCCCACTACAAACGTCAAGAATTCTCGGACAAACAGCAGATTTTGGGTCTGTGGAAAGACATGGTTAAGGTCAGTCCACACGTCTCTGTTAGAAATCAGGAAGTGAACGAAGGTGGATGGTCCTGGCAGAAAACTGCAAGAAGCCAACAGGGAGGAGTCCAACCACTGGCTGAAGATGAGGCAACTTCAGCCTAAAGAACAACTAATAAACACATCAAAAGTCCTGCCCTGGTCTGTATGACTCGGTTGAGTGTGTCCTCCTGTGCACCAAAAAAGTTGCAGGTTTGATTCTAGGTCAGGGCACATGCCTGGGTTGTGGGCTCAAACCCCAGTAGGGGGCATGCAGGTGAGAGCCTATCGATGTTTCCCTTTCACATTGATGTTTCTTTCTCTTTCCCTTCCTCCCTCTCTAAAATCAATAAAAAATTCTTTTAAAAATCCTAATGACACTTAAAAAGAATTAATGATCACCAGTGAAGATGTGAGAGGGCCAATTCAGTTTAAAAATTAGGGGGAAGGAAAAGGACCTGCCCTTCCCACTCCAACAGCAGAGAAGCTCTTCACAGAGTACCTGCAGATGTGGGGTGGAGGTGGATGGGGATGGGATGAGAAAGCCATCTCCCTGATGGAGCCAGGCAGCCACCAGCAATGCATGAGGCAAGGACAGCACAGATGGATCAGGAACTTTATAATGGATGAATTTGGCTGAAGACACCTCAGTCTACGGATCAATCTTGAACTCAACACCAAGTACACAGCACCACCCATAAGTTTTCTTGCCAAAGAAACAAGTTGAATGTGAAAATAACCAAGCCCCAAGACCTAACCACGAGTGTACAGAAAATAATGATGGATAGTGGAGCAAACCAGGAACCAACTCGTTCCCCCGCCCCCCTCTCCCCCCCTGCCCAAAACCCAAGGGCATTAAGAAAAGGAGGGAGACGCACTGCTGAAGAATGAAAGGACTCAAGGCCTGACAAGCACACAGCAGGCCGTGAGTGGAGGACAGTTACTTGAACACAATGATGAGGGAAGTCCATATATGCAGACTCAGTGGAATATGGGTATGTTAAGAAATTACTATTAATAAGTGAGTTAAAAGCAAAGTGGTTATATAAAAAACACACAAAAGATTGAGGGGCACCACACTGTATTACTTAATTGGGGGGAGGGCAGGAGGTAATGAAATGGGCCAGGGGCAAATGCTTTTCAGTGTCCCCTCTCCCACCCAGTATTCAATTGAAAACATTCAAATATTCACCAATTAGCAAATAATAGCAAAAGTCAGAGGATACTACTCACCAGCCACAAAGGGAAGCAATTTACACACAACATTTCCTACTTCCTGCACTTAATGATTTAACTCCCTGAATCTAGTGGGGTTAGGGACTGTCCCAAGGCTCCATGTGGCCAAGTCAGTGCTCATCCTTCTGCTAACAAGCTAAGCCCCTGGCCTCTGTCCCATGGCCCCTCCTGCATCAGACTCCCATCTTCTCACCACGTGTTCTAGAATGGTCTCCCCTGTGAGCTCATGGCTCAGCAGCAGGTGGGAAGGCCTCTAGTTCTAAATAAACCTACAAAGGCTCTACCTGTCATGAGACTGACAATTCTCCACGCAGAGTCTTGGTCTTTGAGCGACTCCCCTCGGGGAGAAATGCACTGCAGGTTACTTATTACAATGGTTTCCTCATTCTGGTATTAGACTGTTCAGAACTATGAAACTGGTTTAAAACAAACTTCGAACTTGTAACCTCTCAAGTCTGGGCCTGAAAATGTGTACTTACAATGTTACTTGCTGATCCTGTGCCTTTTTTTGCACTTGGAACTGCCCATCTACACCATGCCCCTGCTACACCATCAGCTTCTTGTAAATGTCTCAAACTCTGGGAAACCCTTGAACTTTCAGTTCATTTACCCCAGTTCTATTACTGAATTAGTGGCGTTTCACTAAAAATGCCAGGAGGCTCCAAATGTTGCTGTCCCACCTCTGAACTATCAATCTGCTCCACTGGTGGGAGAGCCTGAAGAAGTTCGAGTGTGCCCACTTGGGAGGACCAGGCCAGGGGACACTCACCTGGGTCTGCAGCTTAGCAACAATATCCTTCCGGGCTTTCATGACGGCGTCCAGCTTCCCAGAGACCATAATGGAGAGGCCCTGGTCTTTGGCGAGAGACAGCTCCAGGTGAGCTCCTGTCCTCTGCATGATCTCAAGGCAGATTTTTGCTTGTTCACCTTCTCCAAACTGGTTCATGTCCTTGTATTTTCTCTCCTCCAGGGGTACATGGAACACCTGCTCAGAAAAGGACCAATGGGGAAGTTGAGACAGCAAGAAGAGAAGCAAGGATATTTAAATGTCTAGGCACGGAATATTGGAGTCTGTCCACTAAGTGCCACTCCTCTACCCACTGAGGGAAGGCCCAGAGAGCAGTGAAGAGATAAGCAGGAGGTGCCGAATGTAACGAGGCCGACCTTCTAGTGAAGAAGCAACCACCCCCAACACAATGAGTGCAGTGAAGGAAACAGGAGTTGAGTGGCTGGGTAGGGCAGAGGTAAGGGAGGTTCTGAGGATGTCCAGGAAGGACCTTCCTGAAGAGTCAAGACACAGCCGGCTCTGCTGGGAGGTAAGGACGAGTGGAAGAGAGAGGGCAAAGGCTTAACAAAGTCAGGTGTGAGAGCAATCTGAGGGGCAAAAAGGAAGGGGCCAGACCCCTGAAGCCACCTTGCATTGAGATGGTGTCAGCAGAAGGAGACATCTGATTGCCAACTCGGGTCCCCCAGCTGCTCTGTGGAGATGGGACTGAACATGACACACTAAGCTGCGCGTTAAAAAGATTGGGAGAGCCCTAGCTGGTTTGGCTCAGTGCATAGAGCGTTGGCCTGCGGACCGAAGGATCCCGGGTTTGATTCTGGTCAAAGGGCATATATCTCGGTTGCAGGCTCCTTCCCAGCCTGGGCCCTGGTTGGGGCTCATGCAGGAGGCAACCAATTGATGTGTTTCTCTCACACAGATATTTCTCTCTGTCTTTCCCTCTCTCCTCCACTCTCTCTTAAAAAAAAAAAAGGAAAAATATCCTTGGGTGAGGATTAAAATAAATAAAAAGAATAATGACTACAAAAAATAAATAAAAGAAAAAGATTGGGAGACGCCTATTGAAAGAAGATGATCAGATGCAGCTGGTTATGAGTCTGGATTTGGAGAGGTACCCTCTCAGCACAGAGGTGGACAGGTGGCAATTACCAACTGTGACCCCACATGAGTTCACAGACAGAAGGCAGAGGAGATGACTGTTTCAAGACAATAGGACACAAAGTAGACAAGATAGACAGGTCTTATTGGAGGTACTGATGGGGAAGGGTGAAAGGCAGGGGCAGTTTCAGGAGTTGGGAACAGAGACGGAATTGCAGTAGGCTGAAGAACAGGAGGAGACCCATTCCTTCTGGGTGCTGGGGACATAGGTTAGCACGAGGGCAGTGTACTCCATGGAGCAGCCCTGGGGTGGGGATGGGCTAAACCTGAAGGCCTATTCCCTCTGCACCTCCCCAAGCACTCTCATCAGATACTCCTCCTTCCTCCTGGGAAGGGCAAGTGAAGAAAGAGTGGCATTCCTACCTGAGTGATGACAGAAGCCTTGATGGGCCGGATCTTGTTACCCCAGGCGCCTGCAGGTTCCTGGGCGCTTTCCAAGCAAGCTGCTTTCTCAGGGAGTGGGGGGAAGGCATCCTTGTAGGTTGGAGGGTCACTCTCTTCTTCTGAATTTAAAGTGGCAACTGGACCAGCCAACACAGATTAAGAGGAAGCACATTGTTTTCAGTATCAGATGAAAAAACACTTGGGAGGTTTTAATGTCAAAAAGAGAACACTAATTGCTCAAGTGACAGTGACTTGTCTCATTCAGTGATGGGAAAGGGCCCCAGGAGGTCGCCAGGCCCAGCACCCCCAGGTCCAACATGTGAACTGTAGGGGCCAAGTTGATGTCAACCTGATGGCAAGACCCCTGCCCTGGCAGCTTCCCTGTGAAGGATCAGCTCAGACACCGGGCACCCCACCCTTCCCGTGATGAGGTGAGCCCCTTGAAGGCAGGCCTTGCCCTCACAGTCTTCTAATCCTGTATTTTTTTTTTTAAATCATAATTAGGGCAATGCCTGGCCCTCAAATTTGCAGAATAAAGTAACGCTGCTGCCAGGCATGGCCTGTCATGTACAACGTTGACAAGAACTCCGGCAGGGAGTCCTCACTCACCCTTCTCAGGGAGCAGCAAGCCCTGGAAATCAGGGCCCCTCATCATTACCCACTTCCATCCTCCATCCTCACCATTCACACTCCTGTCCCAATAGCCACAGCTCCATGAAAGCGGGAGTGTGACTATTTGGAATCAGCCTATATGCAAGGCCAAGCACAGCGTCTGGCAATGGGAGGGCCTGATAAAACTCGCTGTGGATGGGTGTGTGCACAGAGCAGTGAGATAACCTTTGGGTTCACACAGGCCTACATCCGACTGTGGGTTCACCACTTCTGTCCATGTGGCTAAGCTATACCCAAACACCAATAAAGACACAGTGCTTGGGTTCTGTCACTACCTTGCATCTGTCACTCATCTAGAAAGGGATATGATGTGTACTCCATAGGGCTGCTGGGTCATTTAGAAAGACCCAGCACTACAGGCACTCAGAATCAAAGCGAGGAAGTGTCCAGGTCTCCACAACCCAGAGAGGATCACTTGAAAGGTGGCACAAGTGACTGACAAAATGAATTTTTAATTTTAATTACTTTAACTTAAGAACCAATATCCGATTCATTTATAGAAAACTTAAGAATGTTTGGAACAACTTGGAATAGAATAGCCTACTCTTTCAAATGAAAATTTTATAAAATCAAATACAGATGAAGGGTTTTAGATAAACATTTGGTGTGCAAATCAAGCTGTCCTGATGTTGTAAATGGAGACCAGATTCTGAAGAAAATAACGTCAAGTATCATTTTTTCTTTCTACATTAAGAGATGTTGAAACGACAATGTTTTAGACATATTCCTCCAGATGAGTATTCTCGGTCATGGCCAGCTGCTTTAAGGAACTGAGAAGCCAGGGAGGGCCCAGCCTTCACCTCCCTGGTGGGCTCCTGACAGTGCTCTGGGGTGCTCCACAGCCCAGATTTAGTTCAACACAACTGGGAACAGCAATTTTGAAAAAAGAATCATATTAATTAACAATGGTCAAATTCATCGGCTTTCCAGAAAGTTGTCCACATTTTAAATCTCATTGAGTCCAGATTCACCTATTACTCCTGGCTAGTTCCACCCTACACAGAAGGGTAGTGCAAAACCAAGTGCACAAGACAGGTGGGCCCTGGCCCTACCCCACAACTAGTATCAAATGCACTTCTACAGATTTCAAAAGGGCTTGGAGGGAACGCTGTCTGAAAAGTTAAGAGTGTGTACAAAGCTGTCACCTTTGATCTGTTGCGGAACCAGCCCACTTCGGTGTTCAGCAAAGCTCTCTTGGGTCAAAACTGCAACCGAGCTCATGGTTGATGGGGTGCCCACACACAGTCCTGGTGAGGCACTGGAGTGGGGAATGGGGAGAGAGAAGAAAGTCAGGCACAGACAGCTCTCTATATCCACGAGACTGTAAAGCTTTCAACCAAGAATTAATTCTCTTTTACTAACAAACTCTACCTTACTTTCCTCACTTACAACCTCTAATGTAAGTAAGGTGATACCCAAACTCTCACCAAGTGAAGAAAAGAAAAATGCAAATAAAGGAGGGTCCTTGGACAACTGTCCCTTCAAAAGTTGCCCTGTAGTTGAGCAGATGGAGGCTCTGGCTGAGAGGGATCAACACCAGAATGCCAGGGCTCGCAGATACAGTCTGCACTCCAACTACTAGGGCCAACTAGAACCCACCACACTGTGTCCCAGCAACACAGATCAACATCTGGAAGGTTCTCCGAACAGCGGTCTCAGTTATTCTGTCTATCTGTTCACCAAGTTACCTCCTGATGCTTAGAATACAATGTACCACATGACAGTTGCTACCAAAAAGCCAATCAAGCAGCAGAGGCAAGGCTCTCATCCAGGGCTCAGTCACCTGAACAGCACTGCAATGCTAAGGGGGCTGGCTGGGGGGCGGGAAGAGCAGCCTTACAGCACTCTGTGGGAACAATGTAATAGCAAAAGGCAGCAAGGACTGCCCAGATGGGCTAAGTGCCTCTGACATATGCTGATTGGTTCTTCTCCAACATCCTATCGCCCAGGTGTGGAGGGGACTTGCAGCAGGTAGAACCTGGTACAAGGGCACCTCAATTGGGGCAGGAACTGGAACCCACTCCCAAGCCACAGTACTCAGTGGGATTCCATGGGATTCCAGCTCTCAAAGCCACGGCTCCTTAATTTGGAAAACAGGGCTTATAAGACACTGAGGCAGGGGTGTTAGCTTCTTTCCCCAACTCTAGGTGAGCCCCATGCTAATACAATGAGGAAGAACCCCCCTCCTCACACAATTATGTACCAAGTGTTTTATACCACCTTGGCAAAAAAGTATAAGAAGGCCAAGTAATTTAATTAGAAGAGTGAGTTTTTACATAACTTTAATAATTTAGACCTCTCCCCAAGTTCAAGAAAATTAAGCTCAGCATTAAAGAGAAGCAATATGCAAACTCAGATAATCCTGAGCAAACATAATTCACATTTAAGAAAAAAGATTAAAATGGATGGATGCCAGACGATACATCTGAAGGGCACACATGCACACACTGCTCAGGCAGGACCTGATTCTCTCTCAAGAACCACTAGAAACTTAAGGATGAAATGTATTGGAAGGAAGTACACACACAGCCCAAGGACAGGAAGCATTCAGACAGGACAAACTTACCAGCAAAACGGTCAGTAGCCAGAAAGTCCGTCCTGAGGCCACCTCTGTCAGCCTGCCAGCTTTTGCTGGTATGGGACAGGAAGGAAGAGGGAACAGGAGAAAACCAGAGAAAAGTTACTTATCTGCATTGTACACACCAGATCCTTTTACCTCCCAACCAAAAAAAGTCAAAATAGTAAACTTTCCCAATATTTAGGCATTTTTCTTGGGAAAAAAAAAGGAAGCTCTGCTCTTAGACCATTAGCTCCAAACAAAACATATTGCAGTAAAACCTGAACCATCTTTTAGAGCAGTGGTCGCCAACCTTTTGGACCTCACGGACCACCAGTTGGCGACTGCTGTATTAGAGGACAAGTTTTCCAGGGACCTTGAGGGAGTGACCCCTTAAGAGCCAAAACTTTTTTTTAAGTGTAACCATTTTGAAGTAAAATCCTCACAAAATTGATGGTTTGTTCTCCTGCATGTTATGTACCTTTTCCCTATACTCCTCCTAATCTCTGAATACTGAGCCAGATGAAAAAAAGGTTCTGATATTATGCTATGACATAGAATGTGGACCTTGGGGCCCCCTGAGCTTTTAAGGGTAACTGAGAGTTACTGTCTTTAAAAGTCCTTTGCTCCCTTCTAATCCACAAGGTTTTAGAAACCAGGCCAGGAAACAGCAGGGTTGGAAGGAACTTTGCAAGGCCATCTGGGGAGAGTCAAGAACTACTCTATGAATTAAGAGGGTATGGGTCACCCTGCCTTGGGGGACTTTGGGATAGTGAGGCTGCCAGGTCAGTTACTGCCACTTTAGACAAAATACCATATGCTGGACAAGGTACGATAAGCTAGACTAAATAACAAAGGTCAGGCACGGGTCATTAGTGGGAGAATCAACAACAGTAACCTAATTAAAGAATAACGCCCCTATTAATATGCACCGCTCAGGAGCTAGGAAGACAGCTCATGGCAATCTGAGATGCAGCAGACTAGATTTAAAAGGGTCTCATCGTCCCAAATGGGATACAGACCAGTGGCACTTCAAGATTTTAGAAATCCCTGAATGCAGGGCTTGGGCAACCACATGGGGAAAGTTCTATGACCCATAGGCCAGAGCCTCTGTGGGGCCCCAGTCCCACCCTACACACAGATGCACCCTGAGACCAAGGAAGAAAGTGGAGACAAACTGACTAAGACTATTTACTTAGGAATTTGTCTCCAACTAATTCTAATCTGCAAGTTTTAAAGATTAAGGTGAGGAATAAAGAAAGCCTTTCCATTAAGTCATAGTATCAGAGCAGCACATCCACCCAGGTCTGACAGTTAGGAAGGGCAAGCACTCTGTGGGATTCCCAGTGTACATGTAGCCAGTCCAGAAGTAACATGGAGGTGTTCCAGGTCCAAACACTGACAATGAAGCCAGGACCCTGGTATCCAACTGACCCTCCTTTCTCAGAATTCCCACTGCAGCTGCACACACTCTTGCCAGGTGACCTTCCACCTGAACAACATCCCACCCGGGGTTGTCCCAGGCACCAACATAAATTCTTAAGATATACACACATCCACTTCTTTTAAAAAAAAATACGTTTTTATTGATTTTTAGAGAGAGAGGAAGGGAGAGGGATAGAGAGATAGAAACATCGATGAGAAACATCTTTGACTGGCTGCCCCCTGTACGCTCCCTACTGGGGATCGAGCCTGCAACCCGGGCATGTGCCCGACCGGAAATTGAACAGTGAGTGACCTCTTGGTTCCTGGGTTGATGCTCAACCACTGAGCCACATTGGGTGGGCAACATCCATCTCTGAACAAGTCAGGTTCACACACATAACCATAACAACAGCCACTCCCTCTCCTCTGTGCTCGCACCGACTAGTCTTCCATCTTTCTTGGACAAGGCAAGTCTTCATGTCCCAGTGACAGGCACACAAGCAGCCCGTGGAGCTCAGTCACTATCCATGTCCACTCCAGCCACAGATCTGTGACCAGCCAATCCCCACTCTGCACTTGGTATCACACACAAAATGGGACAAATTCCTGAGGATCTCTTCTGATATTACTCACACACCTTTCAAAAGTCAACTCCAGCTAGCCCTTCTATTGGACTCAAGAAAGAAGCACTGCTGCAACAGATCCTAATGTGCTGCAGTCTCTAACGCCCCCACATGTGCACAAGCCCTCAGGCAGCTGAGAACAGAGTGGACCTCCAGAAAACTCCAGACTGGTCTGACAGACACACTAGGTCTCCCATCTTCAGATTTCAAATGGCAGTTTGAATCTGAAATGTCACAGCTGAACAGATTATGTGAATGGATTTAAATTAAGCAATAGATTTAACACCTAAGGTTCTGATATCATCAAATAAGGCTATCATTTTTCTTCTAAATTTCTCAAAACTCCCACCTTTAAAGATTCCACTTTAAGTATGTATCTAATGACCCCCATGTAAATTAGATCTCAGCTCCACCTGAGGCTCTGAGGTAAAGCCTTACAAAAGGCCAGTACCAACCTTACCCACTGGCTCCAGCTGCGCCTTCACAGACAACCCCCGACAGACTTACTCCTGCTCACAGATGTCTTTTCCACCTCACAAGTGTGATCACGGCTGCAGGTGGTCTCCACTCTAGCTTCTTCACTTGCTATCTTAAGTTCTCAGGAGACCTTAGACAGGCCCAAAGAACAGAGACCAGACATCTACTATCACAATTTCTCAGTTAATCTAATAATGGTGCTCAAATCAGGATTGAAAGGGACCTTAGACATTACTCTATTGCAGTCTTTGAACACCACCAGAGACAGGAACCACATGGCCTTTCAAGGGAGCCACACTCCACTTCTGTTCCACTGTGTAGCTGTCAGAACAGTGCCTTATGTTGTGCTAAACCTACAACTTCTCTCCCCCTTCTGGCCAGAGAACAAGCCCACTCTTCCCTACTACACTCCAGATGTGTGAGGCTGTGCCCCTACTTCAGTTGTTCCCAAGACGGCCCCAATCCCTTCATCACTGTGGTGGCTCTCAACTACTTTCCCTGCACTAAACATTCAGGTCCACCCATACAAATCTCAAACTATTCTCAACCTGGACTTCGAGTGTTGTTCCTCAGTGTAAATGTCCAGAGCAAAAAAAAAAAAAAGCCACATCTCAAATTATAAGTATGCAGCAAACAGAACTAGAAAAGGAGGGTGGGTGAAGCCCAGACTCTTCTCTTCCTCTCAGGGAACATCAAGCGCTCTTGACCCCCCCACGTGGGAGAAATGTATAGATTACACCTGAAACTTGTTTTTAAAAAGCACACACAACAGGAAAATCTTTAATTGTACTTTTTTGCTTTTAAAAACAAAGCATAAGTCAAGTCCTTGTGATGTTTTGCCAATTACATATTCGAAAGGATAAATCTTTGCAAAGAAAACTCACAGTAACAGTCCAGAAAGAATGTTACCTCCAACTAATGATAATCTCGCACTTTACATAGAGATAGGACTGAGTATGGAGAGTATCAAAACCTACAGCTGAAACCCAGGGCTTCTCCCCTCTTCTTCCAAAATTAAAATTTACTTTCATCCCACAGCAAACTTGCAAGGGAAGATTTTTTAAAGTACTTCTCAGGATCCATAAACCAAACTTGATAAACATAATATCCCCACAGGCCGAAAAAATCAGCAAGCCTGTTTCAGATCAACCGGAGGAGCAGGGAGCAGAGGCGGGCATGCGTGTGTTCGCCAAGTTCTGGAAGTCTGCACCATCCCGCAGGAGGAACTTTCGCAGATGCCACCTCAGCACGGCCCTCCCACAGGCCACGCGAGCCCGCGGGCGGGGACAGGCTTAAAGGGGCAGGAGCACGCTCGGCCTCCTCGCCTCCCATCCAAATTCGGTATTTTTCCGTAATGTATTTTTCGTTCGGGACCCTGGGGCACATCCAAGTTGCACTCCAGCCCGAGGAGGGCGCAGGCCCAGCCCTGACCACGTAGGCGGGTGGGCTGGCGGCAGGTGAAGGTGCAACTGGACTACCAGGCCCCTCCCGCCGTCCCAGGCACCGGCTACACTGCGGGACAGACATCTGTGAACCAGCCCCCCTCTTGGGGGAGGAGCACTCCTCTTGGGGGGGGGGGGGGGAAAAAGGGGCACGGCCCAGAAGCCCACGTCACCGACCTGGGCCCAGGTCGGCCGCACCTCACCCTGCACCCGGGCTGTGGGGGTGGGTAGTGCAGAGGGAATACGACCCTGTTTGGGGGTAGAGGGCTGGGAGGGGCGCTCTCACCTCGGCACGGGCGAGGCCGGCGGACGCTGGACTCGGGAAAGTTTCTTACTCTTCTCTAGCCAACGCCGCGGCCCATGCGCAATGGTGACACGTAGCCGCCGCCCCCACCCCCCCCCGCGCGCTTGGCCAGCCGGCCAGAAAGAAGGGGGCGCCCGTAGCTGGGGCGTGAAGAAGGGTACTGACTGATGGGCCGGGGTGGGGGAGACGGAAGGCGACCCCAGCCCCTCCCCCGCTTGCCCGCCCCGCCGCTCCACGTCGGCAGCCAGCCCGGACACCCGGCCCCGCCCCCGGTGCCCAACTTCCCCACGCAGCCTGGGGCGCCAGCTGCTCTGGGCCCGCGCCCCGCGCCTGCTCTGCCACTCTCCCGCTCGCTCACTCACTCGCTGTGCGGTGCGCTCGCCGCCCGCCCGCTCCAAGAATGCCAGTGCTCCGCGCCGCTCCGAGGCCGGCGCACGGGCCCCGGCTGCTATATAGGGCGGCGGCTCCAATCCCGCAGAGACACGTCAGACCGTGGCGCCCCGCCCCGCCTCGCGCGGGGCCCCGCCCCCGCTCGGCGCACAGGTCAGGGCGCCTGAGTCCTGCCCAACTCCAGACCGCAGAGACCCGCAGGACCAACCAGAGAAGGGGCAAAAAGAGCTGCCGCTCTGTCCCCCACCCAAAAGAAACGAGCAGCTTTGAGGGACAACATATAGCAAATTAAATGCTACCCCAACCAGTTCCAACTTTCAGTAGCTGATGACAAGCTGGCTTTAGCCTAACAACACTCCCCTGGGAACACAAGCCATGCCTCCAAAGTTTGGAGCACAAATTTTCATTCCCTC